CAATGCCTTCTCGAATCTATGCAGTTATTTCTGCTAAAGGAGGTCATACTAAATATTAAATATATTATACGAATTTATTGTAGCAAATAAATATAAATAAACATCAAATAAAAATTATTTAATATTTATTTCACCCCCTGTAGCTACAAGAAGGTAAGTAATTTAATGTTAGTTTTTTTGATTAATTAAAAAAAAATAAAAAATATTAAAATATTTTTTTCATAGTACATATCTTCGAATGATTTAATGCTTAAAATCCAGTAGTTACAAGAAGGTAAGTAATTAATTATTTGTTTAATTGATTAAAAAAAAAATAAATAAATATAAAAAAATATATTTTTTTTATAGGACTTATCTTTAAATAATCAATACTTAAAAAATTCAATAATTATAAAAGGTAAATGATTTTAGTTGTTAGTTAAATTAATTGATTTATTTTACATGACTTATTTCTGAATGATCCAATGGTTGAAAAAATCTAGGATCATCAAATCACATCAAATAACTTCTTTCTTAAAAATAGAACTTTTGTTATTATATGTTGATCTAAAGCACTATCCTTCTTACAATGATACTAATACAAATATTTCAGTTAAATTAAATTAGACTTTTAAAATAAAAGACAAATCTCAAGCATATATTACAAATAAAATAAATTATTTTTTACTGTATTAATAAAGTGAAAAATTAATTGTTGTAGTAAATATAGATACTGATATATAATAAAATCAAATTTTCAACAGGTTCTATTATTTTATAAAATAGTCACATAATGTGTATTTAGAGATCAGATTATCATATAAAAGGACTGAAAAATTTCTTACATATGTAGAATTTAAAGAATACATTTAGTATCTAAGTCCTAAGCTTAGGACTAGAATATTGTATACATTTAAACAGGGTGTGCATTTATAGAGGATGCATCTAGAGAGGTCTAACTATATATGTTCTTGAAGAGATTTTAGTCTCTGCTATTATATTAAGTTTATTATTATTATCTTATTCAATAATTTGTTTCATAATTAAATTATAAAATTGATTTTTTAGCAAAAAGAAAATAATTTTAATAAGAAAGAAACTAACTTGATAAATCTTTTAAATTTATATCTTGTTTTTCATTTTAAATTTATAATTTATAATTAAATGTGGAGGCTAAGCTATTAAAATCACCTTACGGGATAAGAAATTGATTTTGAGTAAATAATGATTAAAAAAATGCTATGCCACAGTAAACATTTTCAACCAATAATAAATTGTTCTATTTTTAAATATTAAGTCGAATTAATTATTAAGACGATACTAAAATTTAAAATTTTTACTATTAAATTATTATTTTATAATATTTAAAATTTTGCTATTATAAAATTATTTTACAGGACTAATTTTTGTAAAACTTGAAATCAATTTCGTAATACTTGAGATTTTGCTATTAAAATCACCCTACGGGACATTGTTACACTAATTTTATTGAAAATCAAAAAAAAAAAAAAAAAAAAAAGGAAATTTTTCAATAAAAAAAAATTTTTTCTGGGGGTATGAATACCCCCATTCAAACACACATTCAAACTATTAATAATGGTTTTAATTAAAAAAGAATTTTATAAGAATCCGAAACTTTTTTAACTTTTTAAATAATAATGTCGATCATTTCTAAAATCTAATTTTAGATTTTTGACTGATGTTACACAAACAAATGAGAAATTTTGACTGCCTAATTGCTTGCTTTGTTAATAAGATAATCGACTATAAAAATTTAACCAAAAAAAGTTCATATATCATATAATAATATGAATCAAAAATCTCAATTTTAGTTGGTGGGGTCCCATAAGGTGATTTTAATAGCTTAGCCCCCAATTATAGGTTCATCTGCAACGAGGGCAAATAACTTAGATAATTGACTATTAAACGACCAATTGCACTAGTAAAAACAGGTCTGATGTATTTTTTGTTGTCTTTTATTAACACACTTTTAAGGCATTTTCAACTTTTTTTGCCATGAAAAACTTGGATAAAAAAATATAGGGTATAGAATAAAGAAATAGCAATTTTATAAAGAAACATTTATATACTTTGAATAGTAAAATATGGTGAACAATAGTAAAATTTACATATTTTTTTTTTATTACGGGTGTTAGTCACCAGGGGATAAAAATGATTTTCAATTTTCACGCGACTGCGCTGTGAAAATCATTGATATCCGTGAAATAACTATTGTCATTATTTTATTGTCAAATGTATCGCATCAGTGAATCCAAATCAAATTTATTTGATATTAAAAGAAAATTTTTTAAATTTTTTTATCCTTCAAAAAAAAAAAAACAAGAAAAAAGAAAAAAGAGATTTATAAATTTATTAATCTAAGAAAACGAAAAAAAAATTTATAAACAAAGTTTCACTATTTTATATACCAGCATATAAAAAATATATATTAATCATAAAATAATTCCTTCAAAAAAAAAAAAAAATTATAGAAATAGAATTATCCTCCTATCAAAAATAGGGATTTAAATTTAGCATAAAATTTCCCATGGTGGTTGTTTTTGAATTTTCGTGCAATTTTTAGCCAAATGATTATTACTTTTCCAACATCTAAAACAATAATCTCAATATTCAACTGATATTTCAGGACAATTTTCATCAAATGTCCATTAATTTAACAATAGTTACATGACGTTGATAGTGTTAAAATAAAATCGGTTTGATGTTTGACTGCTTGCAAAGCATCATATATGCATTTGCATCGACTCTTCGTTTATTGTTTCAACAAATTGTGTTGATTTTTAATCTTCTTAATCAACTCTTTGATTTTATATTAAAATAAAAAAAGGTGGGAGTTAAGTTATATATAGGATTTTTTTACTATACGACATACAATAAAATAACTAGTTTGACATTATTGATATTAAAAATCAATCAAAAATGACGTAATCAATGCAGCGATGATAAATTATTAAATGACGCTTGGTCATTTTGACTTGAAATTTATAATTAAAAGATGTCATTGAGATCAGTTCAAGGTCAATTGTCAATACTGCATAATACGTCAATAAAACTGATTTTTAACGTTTATGACGGCTAATAAGGTTATTTTACAAAAAAATTAATCAACCAATCAAAAGCAAGGTGTGCTAAAATTACAAATATTTTAATTTTTTTTTATTTTTTTTTAATTCCAACCCATAACATATGATGATATTTTATAAAAATGCATAGGATTTTTTTTTCGCTTTATTCACTAATGACGTTCACACTGCGGTCCTACCAAAGATATCCTACAACAAGTCAGCAATATTAGGTATTTTCTAAAGCTCCCATTATCAACCTTTTAAACATTGCTATAATGCTAGTATTCAAAGTATTTTATCAAATTTTATATATCGCAAAAATGATATAATTCTTGTAAAAAATCCATTTAATATTCAAGATATTAATTCTAAACTTCGAAGTTACATCGATTATCTGGTAAATAAGAAATTATAGTTAACACCGTCCCTCCCCCCCCGAAATGATGCACAGCTTATATAGGCTCACCATCACCAGATTTAACTTAAAGAAAATTTTATATGGTATTTGAGAAACTTTTAAAAAAAAAAAATTTTATGACAGCTTTTATAGTTTCAATGTATATAAATAAAATAAAATAAAATGTTATTTCTAGCAAAACTCAATGGCGTTGTTAACGAGAGTAATACTTTTAATTTTCAAAAACATTTTTTATTAAATAAATATGTATGCACACATGTATGTATATGTGTATATGTTAAGAAATATTGAAATAAATATAAAGTATTTGTTCTGTATAGCATTGTCGTATGATTATTTAACTCTGAGAGTTCTCGGAATCCTTTTTATTTTTATCGAATATTTGCTTATATGTCCTTTCTATAACAATAGATAATAATTCTTCTTCGGAATTTTCCTGAATATTGAGCTTGGTTAATAATTTTTGCTTTAATTCTGGAAATTCATTGGAATCCCATTCCTTCTCTTTAATTAGTTCTCGAACTTTTCTACGTGTAATATCAAATTTAGCATGATAATATCTAGAAAAATAAATAATTAATTAATAAATTAATGGGAAGATATTTTGAGAAAATTACAAATAATAACATACATCACATCAGGAAACCAGGTTTTCCAACGTCTTTGGTTTGGAAATAAGTAAAATAACTCGATTTCTGCCAAAATCTATATTTAAAAAAAAATAAAAAACCATTTATTAGTAGAACGCAAAACTAAAACGTGCACATATATTATGGTAATTTATAAATACCTTTGCCTTTTGTTTAAAATATGAAGCTCTATTGTTATCTTTCTCAATGGCATTACTTAGCAATCCAATCAACAAATTCATAAGGTATACAGCAATTGTTAAAGAGAATAAAAACATCAATATAGCAAGTGATGTGTTGTTTTTATATTCCCAGTTAGAAAAGGCGCTTGAATCTCCTATTAAAAGAAAAATATATTTGGGTTAGTCATTAATACATCGACATTATAATTATAATTGTTATTGAACGGGGCGTTAAAATATCGGTTGGATATAGCCCCGTTCAATTAATAAAATGAATAAAGTTAAATAAACAAATAAATTATACCTGTTAGAAATAAATACGTTGAAAAAAGTGCTGTATCATAATCCGTAAACATGTTTGTGTTTGAATCAGGATGTTGAGTCAATATTTGACCTGGTGCAATGGTTCCATCTTCTTGTATTGCAACATAACTACTAGTTAAATTCCAAGGATTATTGCTATCATTTCTTGTAATTGGAGGATGTTCTAAATCATAATCTTGTCTTGGCCCTAAAAGAATCAAAAAAGCATGGGCAAAACCTAAGATTATAATAAATAATAAGAACAAGAAGGAGGCTATTCTCTTCGCAACACTAATTATAATTACAAAATAGACACCAAATGATTTAAATGCTCTAAAAAACAATAAAAACTTCAAATCTAACAAGAGACATGAAAATGCAATCCAAAAATAGGGTTTATCGGCTTCATCTTTGATAGATAACCAATAAATAGCTGTACAAGCAGGGGATAGATATGCTCCCAAATCTAAAATCATGAGATATTATTAAATAGATTGACAATTATATAACTTAACTGATTTCATTCTTACCAAAATAGTTCCAAGGATCTCGAAACCATTCACCAACATCATAAAAAACCTGACGAAACTCAACAGTGGAATGAAAAAATCCAAGGATAATTGAAGCGATTAAAAGTTGATTTCTGACACCTTCAGATATGTAATGATCAGAAAATGTCGTTGCAGCAGTAAAGCATACAAGTAAAATATTAAACATGGTCCAAATAACTATATAATAATAAAATCCATATTTATTCCACTTGAAGTTAACTAATGCTTCACCATTCCATGTGTTATATATCGCACTACTTATTGTTTTTACGAATGGACTAGGTTTGGGTTTAAATAAATCCGATAACCACCAACACAAACCATCTCCTTGTGGATAACTGCCAAATTCGATATATGGATTCATAAAGGTAATTATAGGTTTCGGGTTTTCGGGAAATACTGAATCTAATAAATAAGATCCCAAATAAGTAGATTTATAATAACAAAAAGTAAATCCATCAATGTAAAAATCATTAATAATGTTAAAATAATTTAAAATATAAAAGATTGGAAAGGAAATAATTGATGTAAAGAAATATATTAAGGCTTCAATTGTATAATATAGAAATGAAAAGAATTTGATTGAATTCCATTTCTCAATTCGATAATTATAACGGTGCCAATTAATCGATCGAGTTAAATCAACTATTTCAATATCGGAAAAGTGATGAAGATGTGGAGTATTAAAATGATCTATTTTATAATCATCGGAATCTGTTATCATTCTTGTATCTGATGAAAATCTTTCAACATATTCAGGATAATGTTTATTCAATAATGGCATTGATCTAGTAATAATACTTAAAAATGACTTATTTTCTTCTAAATCTTGTTTGAAAAGTTCTAAACATTTTTTATAAATACTTTCTATTAAATCTACATTATGTTCCTCAATTGCAAACATTAATAACGCAGTGCCATATTTTAAAAAATCTTCATTGTTTTCTTTAATATATGAAATAGTTCCAAAAATTAATTCATTAACTTCAATTTGGTATCTGAATTTTTTTTTGATCCATTTAATCTTGCTTTCCGGATCGTGCATATGATGGAAATAATTCAAAGAAATTAACCTTTCACCTCCACTTGTACATAACCTCACGTCCTTATTTAAATGAAAAATAAAAATGCCAATCTTTGTTAAAAGAATGATGGAATCACCATTAAACAATTTGCTTGCAAGTATATTAAGATCTTTCATGCCATTATCGTCCAAACTTTTTTTAAGTATTTCAAGATACTCCTTGTCTGAACATAAAAGACGAATTAAATTTTCATCAACTGATAAATGTTCTTTTGAAATTTCGATTTTCAAGCTATTTTCATTTGCTAAAACTTCAACCGTCATTATTCGTTTTATAAAATGATTCATTAATTCTTTAATTTTAGATGTCCATTTATTATCTTCATTCTCTAACTCTTCAAATTTAGTTAACTGATCAATAAAATAATTTGCCAATTCATCTTCAACTTTAGCTAAATTTTTGTCTTTAATATAATCATTCACTAAATTTTTAATTTTAATAGCTGTTAGATTCTCAAATTCTACAATGTTCTTTTTTTTTATCCATTCAATAAAATCTTTAGTTATCTCTTCTATATCGACAATAAAATCCGCCCCTTTAACCAATTTCGTAAGAGCGACCTTTAATTCATTCTCTATTTGCTTTGCATGAATTTTCTCAGTTGACACTTTATTAATTAACATCGTTATTGCCTTTGTAAGGACTTCCTCCAATTTTTTACATTTAGTTATCTCTAACTGGTCAATAAACTCGTATACTGAATTTTTATATTTGTCTGTTCCTATCTCAGAGGTTCCTTTATCACTAGTTAATTTTTCAATAAAGGAATTCGCTAGTTCATTAACTTTACTTTCTTCAATTTTGTTCGGTTTTTTATTGTAAATTTTATCTTTAGTAGATTTCTTTTCAATAAAACTATTCAACTGCTCTTCAAATTTAGCTATATTTATCACTTCAATTACTGAAATAAAGTTTTTCACTAAGGGTTTAATAAATTTGCTTTCCAAATTTTTTGCTGCAATTAGTTCAGTTATCTTTTTTTTAAATTTTGTTTCTGATCGTTCAATTGTCTTTTTAGCTAAAGCAAAATCAACTGTAAAAGTTCTCACCAAATCTATTAATTTTGTTTCGTTTAGATCTTTCTCTTTAAGTATCTTTTCAATAAGTTCATTTTCCAATCCTTTAATCTTAATTATCTCAATCTCTTCAATAAAATTATTCACTAATTTCTTAAAATTTTCTTGTCTTTTTTTCAGTGAATCTTCTCCTTCATGAATAACAATTATATTTATAAACTTATTTAAATCTTCTAATAAATCTTTGAAATTGGTTACATATTTTGGTTTATTAATCGGTAACTCTGATTTACTTTGCTTTTCATTAAAATTTTTCAATAACCCGAAATTAATTAACATTTTAACAAAATTGTTCACCGATGTTTCAATGTTATTACTTTCTTTCTCATTAATTTTAATTATCTTCTCAATAAAATCTTTCTTTATCCTGTTAAACATATCTTTGGTTGTCGAAGATGATCCATTAATAAGATGTTCTAATCCCGAATCATCAATATTGGTAATTGTTATTTCTTTATTAATAAATTCTTTCTCTAATCCTTTAATTTTAATTTCCTCGATACCTTTAATAAAACTAGCCACGAATGTGTCTCTTTTATTTTTTTCTATTTCTTTCACTATTTCTCTAATATGAGTTTCTCGTGTTGGATCATTTGATTTAATTATCTTATCAATTAAAGATTTATTTATGTTGGAAATTATGTTTTTAATTGTGTCATAAATAGTTTTCAGTTTATATATTTCTTCGTATATTCCATCTTCAATATCAGTCGTTAAATTTGCAAAATATTTAGTAATAATATTTGATGCTTCTAAATCTTCTTCGATTTCATCTATCTTTATAATCCTAGTAAAATCTTCCACGATTTCATTGAAGTCCATTTTTTTCACATCATCTGTTTCGAAATTTTTTAGATGAGTTATTTGATTAATAAATAATTTCTCCAATTTTGTTTTTATATTATGCTTTTTCTGTTTGCGAAGATTTTTATTTAATTCCTCAGATAATTTATTAATGCCGTTAATAAAATCATTTTGTATTTGTTCCACAACACTTATATTTTGTTCATCAATTTTGTCAATTTTGTTCTGATCAAAAACTATTTTTCCTGTAATAATTTTCCAATTTGAAAGTTCTTTATCTAATCCTTCAATTTGAATTATCTTATCAACCAAATCTTTTGATAATTTCATAAGTTTTGATCTTGATTCTTCAATTTTAGATACAAATTCATCTAATTTATTATTTATATCTTCCTTCTCGCCTTTGCTTTTTTGAACTAAATCCTTAAACCTTTTTATCTTTTTTTCAAAATCCCTCACGTAATGTGTGATTTCGCCTTTGATATTCCTTCTCTCGGTGCCTTCATTATTAACTTTGATCTTCTGTTTTCCTTCAATTTTCCAAATAATAGAACTTTTCTCCAATTGATATACCCTTCTTAAATCATCCCCAATTTCAGAAAAAGTTAAGTTATCATAATCATTTTTGGGCTTAACAAATTCGACCTCCTTAGCTTCAATGCTACCGTCTGTTTTGAATGTAAATTTATAATTTTTCGAATTTAAATTATAAAATAGAAAAGGACTTGAAACCTTAATCATTAATTTTAATAACTCATCATCAAACAAAGAAAGTAATAAACATCTCAAGTTTGGACGTTTTTTATCAAAACTATACAGTTGATTTTGTTTTTCTTCTAAAAAAAAAAAATTTTAGTATTTGTAAATTTTGAACATGTTATTTAAAATAAAACCGTACCATTTTTTAAATTAAATTTCGCGATAGGAAAAGACAATTCATTTGAATAAACAACAATAATGTTATCTAATTTCAGACAGGTGTATTCCTTATTACTAGAGATTCTTATATCTTTTGTTTTTATCTATTTATTTATTTATATTTTTATAAAATAAACAAATATTAGTTTGTATTTCTTAATTAACAACAATATTTTGAAAATTTATTAATTTACCTCATATATGCTTTTTGTTATTATGGTTGTATGACCCATAAGAACATCCCATTCATATATATTATCATTTAAACGTAGTAAAATTTTATTATAATTTGATATGTTTATTACATCCGCCCCATCAGATATCTTGAAGAAAATTTTCCACTTTGTTTTATTAGTTTTGGTTTGTATTGAATAAACGCAAACAATATTTTCCAACCCGTTAGGGCCATCAACCGTGCAAGAGAAGATAAGATCTCCTTCAAGGTTAAAGTTACAATGTTGTACCTCTGATACTTCAAATTTCAATCTCAATCTCTTTTCTTGATAAATATTTTTCATATCGATGATCTCTAATAATAATAATTTATAAATTTAAATAATTTGAATCAACAGTGACACATTATAGATCACGTGTAATATTTTGACCAATTATTATACTTACTGATAAAGTAATTATCTTGAATATACGCTATCTTCATTTGATCAGAGACACACATAGCTGAAATTGTACCGCCATATGCATAAACACTTTGTCTAAACTTATAATTTAAATCTCCGTCTTTTTCGTTGTCGTCTTTTTCATTGTCGTCTTCGTCGTCTTCGTCGTCTTCGTTGATATACCAGTACCAGTCAATAACTTTGTTTACTTTATTATAAGCAGCAATACATTCTCCTTTCGGTGATATTTCTATAATATCGTAAGGATTCATTTCAGAAATAAAAATTTGATATAAGTTTGTGAAAGGAGCTATTTAGTGACTAGCTTTAGGTACTATCAACGAAAAAAAGTCCTTTATATAACAAATCATTGTTACATTCAAGTACCAAATTAATAAAAATGATGAATAGGGCGTATAAATTTGTGTAAACACATCTTTAGAAAAGAAAAACGTAGTCGTGATGTCCACAAAAAAAAAAAGTCATTGAGAATTGACTTAAATGGAATTTTTTGTTTTTTTGAATGAAGTCGTTTTTGATAAAATCAATAACACCCGAAGTTCAATGATGAAATCGCGTAACTTACTTTAAAAATAAAAACAAAATAAACAAAGTCGTGATACATATGCTCAAAATCACTAAAAAAAACAAAGTATTGAAAATTGTCTTAAATAGATCTTTTTTTGTTTTTTGAATTCGTTTTTTGATACTATTAAAAAACCTGTACTGCATAACATATCTGCAGAATATTCCCGAAAATGGTAAAACGTTATAAAAACGAAAAATAAAATAAAAATTTTGTGATGCTAAAGGCAGTGTAACGTGCACACAGTTCATTGATTATCATTGCAGATCACTATTCCCTAAAGATACAATTCAATGAAAGTAGTGTAACTAATTTACAAAAGTCACGGCACATCTGATAAATCTCATGCAGTATTGACTGAAAAGGAACACAACTCAGAGAATACCCAATTTTGGTGTTATTCAAGTTTTTAAGTTCAAATTGATAAAATTTTTCCAAAAAAGCTATAATTGATTGAGAATAATAATTGTTTTCAATGATCGAGAAATCATTAATTGATTTTCTTCGTAAGTTCTTGAATTACAATTATTGAATGGATAACTATATAGAAATGCAAATTAAATAAATTAAATATATAAAATTTTACATGGTTCACTACATCATGCACATCAGGATAATTATTGTCACTACCAAAAAATGTTCGAGATTTGTAGATCTTTGGAAATCAATGATCGTCATTTTTCTTGGCTTTTTTTCAATGGGCAAAAAAAACAGCTTACAGAATTTGGGCGTGGAATAATTATTGGTTTTTACCAAGCGGGAGACTCTGAAAGAACTATATTCAAAAAACTAATCATTCAAAAATGGCTGTTTATGATATAACAGGTACTTTTACCATTGCTCTTCGAAGTGGGCGGCCAAAAAATTAGATGAACGTGATAAATGACATCTATTACTTATTGTTAGTAAAGAAAGACGTAAGTGATGCTCCGAAGCGATCGAGTCGACCCGGTTGTTTGACCCGATTCGAATTTTTTCCCGAGTCGGGACTATCATTTTATGACACGAGTCTAATTCAAAAAACCCGCCGGGTCAGGGTCACGTTTTTGCTTGACCCGAGTCGACCCGGTGACCCGGATGATCAGGCTTAAAACAATATCGATATAAATTGACGCGCTATTATTTTTATTTTTGTTTTACGTTACGAGACTTAAATTTGTAACAATTAAATAATGAGTAAACCTATAGAGGTTACCGATAGTACAACTTCGTCTAGAAAACGAAAAGCGTTGCGGAGTGAACAATTACAAAAAAAAAAAATTCTCGATTATTAAACATTAACCAATACATTTTTTTATAAAGCAACAAGTGTTTCAGTAGAACGAGTTTTTTTCTGATCAGATATCAACCAAAGGATGTGGTCTTAAAGCTAATACAAATCGTCTGTATGTGCTTGAGATTCTGGTGTAAGAAAACAGAATTAGGATTAATGCTCACAAAAAAAAAAAATTTCAAAAATAAAATAAACACTTTTTTTGATTTGCGTCAACTGACAGTTGACGTGAGTCAGATGACTAATGCTGGCCAAACCTTCTTAAGGCATTATAAAATCGGCCCAAAATAAACCCATAATTTAGGCCAGTCGTCATCTGACGCACAACAAAAATGAAAAATCGAGTCGAATCCGGGTTAAACAATAATCGGGTCGAGTCGAATTCGGGTTCTGTAATTATTAATGGGTTTGAGTTCGAATATGCCTTAAACCTGACCCGACCCAACCATCACGGAGCACTAGACGTGAGCTTGCACAAAAATACGAGAAATTCAACTGGGAATAAAGCATGTATAAATACTAACGAAATGAACTTTATAGTATGGGATATCATAGTCGAATTGCTCTTAAAAAGCCTTATATAAGTGAAACAAATAGACGCTTTGATAAAAATATTCACGAGAAAAGCATTTTTAGACAATCAATGATTTGAAAAAGTCATTTGGGTGATGAGTTAAGGTTTACTTTATTCCATAATGATGAAAAATTCATGTTTGACGTCTCCCAATGGTTAATATGGTGGAGGTAGAATTATGATGTGGGAATGTTTTTCATGGTATGTTGATAAAATATAGATGGCTGGATTAATAGTGAAAGATGCATAAATAAGATTATTGGATATCATATATTACCGTTTTTAGAAGAATTTGAAGAATATTTTTTTTTAACAAGACAACTCACCTATCCATACAAGTAAACAAACGTAAGTTTTATTGAAGAAAATGCAATAATTCTTTTACGATAGTCAGGACAAAGTCCTGATTTGAATCTAATTGAGCATTTATAGGACGAGCTTGAACGAAATAACTTATCAAAAAAAGAAAACCCAAAAAATATAATTGAATTAGAAAAATTCCTGTTGGAGGCATGGTCACAAATTTCTAATCAAGTTTATCAAAAACTAGTTAGTAGTATGGAAAAGTTGATAAAAGCAGTTATTCGGCACGTGTCTTTCCAACTAAATAATTAAAATTTAATAAATTTAATTAAAAAATTAATTGATTAATATTTTAAAAAATGATTATCAAATTATTACTTACTTAAAAATTCAATATATTATTTTTGGTTAAAATTCGCATACAAATCATTAAAAAATATATATTAATGAGCGAAGATATTAAATTTACTTATTTATTAGAGTCTAATAACACTTGATGTTAAAAAATAGTCAAGATGTCTTATACTTTTTGGTAGAGATTGTACTTTGGGATTGTGATAGTCGGGATTTAGGACCGGATCCTAATTATGGTGCTGGCAATCTATTAATTTGTAACTCTTACACATCCATTAGCACTTTTAAAAAAAAAATAAAAAATTTTAAAAACTAAACCGGTAACTTTATTCTTCAAGATGAGTATTACTAAAATTATCGGTCACTTTTTCAATAGAAACCCTACAAAAAAAGTTATACTCAAATAATTTTTATTATTTGTAAATAATTTTAGAAAAGGATTTTGCAGCATTTTTTCGCACGTGACGTGGGTTTCAGGCTAAAGATATCTTTTAGAAGAATATTTTTACATAACTTTACCGGTTTTTTACAGCGCATAATTTACCGGATTATTCTCGCAGTTTAAATTTCCCGCTATCTGAATCCGATTCCCTATACATGCTAAATCAAAATGAGGATGCATGTATGCATGTTTGTTTGTTTTTTAAAAAAAAAAAATGCAAATAAGCTGAACTTTATTTATTTATTTACATTGGCAATAGTTCTTTATATGCATTATGATATTCGATCATATCGCTAACTTTAATTAATCATTTTAACACCATAAAAAATGGCATGAATGATCGATTTGCATATAGGACTATTTTATGTAACACGAACGCTGCACATAAAAATCTCTTTGGTATGCATCTTGGCGATCAGGTCACTTTTCATCTTGAAATTTCTTCCCTAACTTTATTTTTAATTAAAGTGTGAGACGCAAGAAATGTTTTAACCCCTTGTATCGATTTATATAAAGCTTCACAAAAATCAAAACAACTAATAATAACTATTTTGAATGCTTAAATGAGGAATTTTTATTTATTTTTTTTTTTTAAAAAAAATGTTATAATAAATTTTAATTACAACTTTAGACGGGCATTCTCCAATCCTTTACAATTATAAAGTATCATTCATTGAAAATTAAATTAAAAGAAATTCAAGTTTTATTTTTTAATTCAAAACGTTTGTTAAATGAAAAATAAATACAAAAAATATACTTTATATTTTCTATGATGAAGGATAAAAAATAATTAAACAAAAAAAAATTTCAAAATATATCAATGAGTTACTTACCTCACGTTCATGAAGATATGTTACACCGCGACAAATATCCAAAGAAAATTTAATTTTTGTCTCCCAATTCATATTTTCTCTAAATTTGGTATAATATTCATGTAAATTTCCATGTTCCATCTATTCGGTAACCAAATAAAATTTGGAATCTTCTTGAGCCACACCAAAAATTCTTATAATATGATCAGAATTTTTTTAATTCTTTGGGAAATTTATCTTGTCCTCTGATTTCTATTTGAATTTGAATTTGAGAAGATGCATTATTTGATAATTCTTTATTATTATAGCACAAATTTTAGAACCACGACCGCTTAATTTCAATGTTCATTCATTATAATCTTTTGGATACGCTGGAGGTGAAGAGAAGGAGATAAATATGAAATGTAAATCGCATCTACGTCTAAGGTGCTTTTGTTCCTCGATTCTCCATTTTGACGTTTTTACTTCTTAACATAATTAATCAAGAGGGGAGTGGTAAAGGAAGTTATTTACAGTCAACATTTCGCGAAATTCATTAAATAACTTTTCCGAAGTTTCAACAACAACGAAATCATATTGCATAATGCAATTAGCAAAAATGAGTCATTTTTAAAAAACCGCCAAAAGTCTAGGAATTAAGAATATGTTACCCATAAATTATTATGTTACACAAAACCATTTGATTCGGAAGTCATTTTCGATAATATGTAAATTTACTATTGAACTAACTTTTTTATTTCCATGAGTAAATTATGCATTTATTATAATAGTAATGCTAAAAAGAACTTTCTTATTTTGCAATAGATATGACAGAAGAATCAGTAATTGAATTATTACGAGAAACTAATACTGAAGCAATGGATGAAGCAATAATTAATGAAGAATTACTACCTCCGATTATTGGTTTTCCTAATGCTGATCTTCCATCTGAAATACTAGAGCAGCATGTGTAGCCCGATTGGCTGCATTGGAAACTAGAAATAAATGTAACTTTAGACAAATATTTATCGAGGAGGTTTTAAATTTAGGAGCACAGGAACTTGAGAATCCCTTATGAAGAAGATGATGATTTTTCAATGAAAAGTTTAATGGATGAAGAAGATAGGGATACAGTCATGAGTTTAAATGAAGAAAATACTAATTGGGAGATAAATGATGTATTTGGACTTGATGAAGAATAAATTTAATTTGATTTTCTATATGTAAATTTTTTGGTTCTTTTTTTTTCTTATCTTTTATAAATAAATATATAATATTATAAATAAAATCGAAGAATGACTTTGCTATAAACGATTTTCTCAACTCATAAAAACAAATTAAATTTTTAAAGTTAAAAAAATTGTATTTTAATATCGATGGGTTTTTGCCACCCGTCGAAACTTTCGCAGTTTTGCCTTTAATAAAAAAAATTTGGCAAAACGTTTTGATAGGTTTCGATTTAGATGCCTATCGAAACCTCCATGTTTTGCCTAGCAACCTTAGTTTACGATTTTCAATTTTGAATCTTAATCTTATATGATAAGCATTACTAAGCAATTATTGCAACTGACTGATTTTTGACATCTCGGGGTATTTGATTTTTCAACTTCAGACAAATAAATAGGTAATATCCGTTTTGTACCTAAGTATTTCGAAATATTAAAAATAAAGTGCACATATTTCCAGAATTTAGTCTTTCTAAATAATAAAATCTCAAAAAAAAAATGATAACATATTCCTGTCTTTGATATAATATAGCAGAAGATAGTTCAGACGAAATACCTGTTAAAATAGCCAAAATTCTAGCTAATTAACTGAGTCTGGAACAATTTTTGATATTATTAAGGAAGTTATATTTGTTAAAATACTATAAAATTCTGACTGGTCGCAGCTCTAACTTTCAATTCTGGGCTCGTCTTGATTGGTAAGATTTTTTTATGCAATACAAAACATTTGACTTAAAAATGAAGAAATCTATAAACGGTGACGGAAATGGATATAAAAATGAAAAGAAGAAATATGGATTTTCAATACAATATTTTTTTTAATATTAAAATTACATAATTAATAGACAACCTAAAATTCGACCGACGTATTCAATTTTAAAAATTTACTATTCGATTAATTTAAGTGATACAATAAAATCATAAAAAACTGACTGCCCATAATTGAACAGGCCTAAGTGGTGAGGCACGCGTTATCAAAAAATAATACAAAAAAGCGGAGGTAAGTCTTGAATTCATCGATCTGTGAAATTCTCCAAATAATATTATTCCATCACCAGGATTAACATTAAAAAAAAAAAGAAATCCTACTTTTTTAAGAAAAATCATTTTAATAATCAATTTGCCTGTTTTCGACGTCATCAGGGAAATTTTGCGTAAATCGCCTTGTTCATTTTTTTTATAATTCTTCATAAATATAGTCTCTAGAAAATTCTCTTGATTCAAAGAAGAATAGAACTTGTGCATAAAAACAAAAGGGTTTGATTTAATCTTCTTTTTTCCCTAAATTTCACAATAGTTTCGGTAGCAAAAACTAGGCTTGTTTCTAAGATCGAAATTCTAGATATGGAATATTCAATAAGTGGATTTTGACAAGACTTTGGATGAAGATTGAATAGCTAAAGAATTGGTCTATGTTGTGAGGATCGAAATCTTATCTGACAGGCTACTTTATTTGTAAAATATTATAACGATTTAAGTTTAGTAAAAAAGTAATAATTTTATTATTGCTAAATAATAAAAATATAATTTCGTTATTTTAAAAAGTATGTATAATTTGAATAATTTTTTTTATAAACCAAATTTATCACCGGGCATCTTCATACTGTAACACTCCTGCAATTATTTCTTCATATAAAAAGATTGCAAATTAATAGGAAACATTAAAGAATTCATTTATTAATAAGTTGATTATTCGATTGAAAACTTTTAAATTTTTTTTTAATTCGCTCTTCATCTGAGAAATTTATACAAACAAGTATGGCTTTGATGTGAAATTCATCATTTCAAGATAGATTCAATAATTATTGAAAGGCAGTTGCTGTTATATCGGAATTGTTTGAACTTTCTTGTGCCCAACTTAGAATGTATGCTCATTTTTGGTATTTTCTATAGGCCAAAATCATTTCTTCAGATGTTATTCAACATCAATCAAAGGTCTTTTTTATTTTTTGTAACCATCTGCCATATCATAAATAAGAGGATTAAAGTTCTTATTCTATTAGTATATCATTATAAAAGATATCTAGTGGCTCAATACAGTTATGTGAATGATGATTTATACAACTGGATTTTGCCAAAAAATGTTAAATGTCGTTCATTGCAGATGCTGATAAGAGATCAATAATTAAACAATTCTTGCTCTCGAATTTTTTGCTTGATGGAATTACTACAGCACACTATCAAAAGTTTAATTATAACTCAAAGACTTACTAGTGTTGTGACTGAAATTGATTTTCATCTGAAGTTGGAATTCAGACACTCTTTTTGTTATCTGAATTCCAAATTCAGACTTATAAAAAATTATTTTAACCAATCACAATATGCTAATTTTTTTTTTTTTACAATTTCGTAAATATAGTTAACTTTAAAATTTTACATTTCAGAATTTTAGCTTTTAGCTGAATTATAATTTAAATTTCGCAGCATTTATTTTGTAGCATTAAATTTACAATTTTATTTTATTTTATTTTCCTTTTTTTTAAGGATATTATTTCTTTTCTTTTATTATTTATCGTTTTATTTTTTTTATTTTTTTTTTTAGGATTTTTGTTTACATTCGGGCTGCTACTTAATGTGGTTTTTCTTTTTCTTTTATTTTTCGATATTTTTTTTACTTTCTATTTTCATTTTCATTTTTTTTTTATTTATTTTTTAATTTTTAACTTTTTAATTTCGATTTTATTTTTATTCAGTTTTTTGGCAAATAAGTAAGTGCTTTTTTTTAAATATATTATTTATTTTTTTTTTTAGTTTTATTTTATTTCTATTTTATTTTCATGCAGGTTTTTCGACCGCATTGGGTGCTGCGTCAGTTAAATAAGTGATTTTATTCATTTTCGTTTTCCTCTATTTTCAGGATTTTTTTTTATTAAAACTTTGATCCAACCAGAAATAAACATGTTAAAAATATTCACTTTTTTATTTTTTTTAATTTTTTTAAAACAGCAAATAGCAAATAGAAAAAGAACTCCTACCTTTACGAGTTACCTATATTATTTTGAAGCTAAGAGGCGAATTTTAAAATAAAAATTACTTAACTTTTATAAATATTTTAAATTTTAATTATAGAGAGAAGGATCGTTAATTTTTTTTTATTATAATAGAGTAGTAAAGAAAATAAATAAAAGAAACAGTTAAAAATTCACAAAAATTTTTTTAATTAAAATAAATTGCTTATGTACAGTAAATGTAAAATAATAGATTCTTTTAAAGTTCAATTTGAGATATCTCAATTTCAGATGGCCTTGTGTCTGTAATTCAGAAGTTCAATTTCAGATATCCTAATTTCAGACCGCCTCATATCTGAAATTCAGATTCTATCTGAAGTTCAATTTCAGATATCCTAAACCTAATTTCAGACGGCCTCGTATCTGAAATTCAGATTCTATCTGAAGTTCAATTTCAGATATCTCAATTTCAGATGGCCTTGTGTTTGAAATTCAGATTTTATCTGAAGTTCAATTTCAGATATCCTAATTTCAGATGGCCTTGTATCTGAAATTCAGATATCCCTCTGAAATTAAAATTTAACTGAAATTAAAGAGTTACACAAAAATTGGCCAATAAGATCATGACTGAAATTGGAATTCAGATAACAAAAAAGGGTATCTGAAATTGGAATTCCAATTTCAGTTAACTGATCTTCAAATCTCAATTTCAGATACTCAAAGATCGTCTGAATTCTTTTGATATTTACTTCATGTAACATAAGAAGATTTACTATAATACTTTTGTAAAGTTTTAATTTAAGGGTGAAAATAATTAGATTGTAACCTTCAAAAACGTCTTGATTATAATTTCGGATTTTTGTGAAAGAATAACTATCAACAGAAATTTTGATGATTTATTTATAACAAGTAAAGTGAAAATCAGAATCAGTAATTCTGATCGATATTTTTTAAGATGCGAGGAATTTATTTTAACAAAAATAATATAAAAAAATACTTCAGTTATTTTATATATCAGTGAATTATTCTAATTTTTTTTAAAAAATCTGAGTTATCGTGTTCTAAACTCGTTTTTTATAATTTCCTTTTCCAATTCCATAAATTGTTCTCTTTTATAAAATTTTGAAAGCTTATTTTACATTAAATTTCTTGTTTAATCAATTTTTCTCTTCACAATAATCATTTTCAAGTTCGAAATCTTTACAGAGCAATTTTTCCTGTACCGGTAACGTACGCATTTAAAGATCAATTAAAGATGTGAAAATTTGTGCAAGATAATAAATACCTTGAAAAACGTGATGAAGTTACGTTTATAACGCGAGAAATATCGATACGTAGTTTAAATGAGCTATATACAATTTATTCGAGCCTGTAACACAACGAATATAGTTAGACAAAATATCAATTACTTGAATATAGAGCTCCGAACAGGTCGGTTCAGGTCAGGTCAATCAAGTTACCTGAACTGAGAGGATCAGGTCAGGTCAAACAAA